GATAATTTTTAATCGATATATATCGATTAACTGCTATATATCGATATATATCTGCTTAAAAATTTTGCTGATGTATAACAAAATAGTTTTAGATCGAAAGAATTTTTTACTACAACAAATTGGCAATTTTCCCTTTCTAAACTATCTTCCTTTTTCAAATAATATTCTAAGACTAATTTTCTGTTAATAACCGATTTTATCTTCTTTTTCTACAAAGGGTTATTGCCATAATTTTTTCATTTATATTTACGTTTTTTTTTTTCTTCTTCCAGTTTAATCTGTCTTTACCAATTAGAGACCCTGCTCTCAGGAGTCTTCTTCTATCTTCTTCTCTAATCTTTTTTTTCTAGATTCATAGTTTCATATTCTTCTTTTGCTTCATAAGAACTTGCTCTAAAAGTCTTTTCTAGAAATATTCTTCTATAGGCCTTCTTTTTCTCGAAGTACTTTGAGCCTTCTTTTGGTCTTTCCGCTTCTTCATTTTGGGTGGTCTGCTTAAATTCTTTTTCTTCCATATTCTGGGTATAGGAATCTTCTTTTTTTTTTTCTTTAACTTCCTCTTTTCTTTTTTCTTCCTAGGCTTTGGTTTTCTTTCCAAGAATTTTTCCTGTATTTCAAAAAAGATCTTTCTGTTCTCAAAGATCTCTACAAAAATCTTTTTTAATAATTCTAGTAATGTGTCTTTTTTCTTTTTCTTTTTTTTTCAATTCATGTTCTCTTTTGATCTGCATATTAGTATATCTTGAATCAATTTTGTGCTAATGTTTTCTTAGAACTTTAAACATTGTATCTATTTTACAAGCAGATCTTTCTTTTTCTTTTTTCATATCTTACTATTAATCTGTGAGTCTTTGATACTTATTTAGTATATGACTTCGATCAACTATTCTATTGGGAACATTGGTTCGATCCTAGGTCTTGGTTCTTTCTGCCTCCTCGTTAGGAATTTTGTTTCTGCAATGTTTTTATCAATACAACTCCTATTCCTCTTTTCTTTTCTTTCTCTAGATTTTCTTTTCTTTTCTTCTCGATTTGCTATATTAAATTCAACAGACAATTTGAATTGTATAGCCAGAGTTTTTAATGCTAATTTATTGTTCTGCTTTTGTTGAGTTTTTTTTTGTTTCTAAAGTCTTTTATTCCAGTCTGAATCTAACTTCGACTTCATTTTGGTAGCTTATTTTTCTTTCTGCAGAGCTTGCAACTTTCTTTTTCTTGTTTCTTTGATTTTCTTTCTTGACTTGTGCTAGATTGCTGCGGTAGTCTTGACAGATTTTTTAAATTAATGTATTAAAGATTTAAGGGCTATTTTATTATGCTGTCTTTGCTGATTTCTTCTTTGTTCTTGAAGTCTCTTGCTCCAACTTGAATCTAATTTTGACTTAATTTTAGCAACTTGCTTTTTTCTAACTTTAAAATTTTTTCTAACTCCGTCTGCTAGCCTTAGTTATACTATAAACCTAATTATTTTATCTATTATTATATGGTGAACTGGGTCTTCTCTATTTTGCATTGCTTCGTGAAAACCTTCACTATCTCTTTTTATAAGTGCAAGTTTTGTATATTCTGTTTCGCCATTTTCATATTGCCAAAACTCTTTATAAAGTTCATTTATTTGTGTCTCAGCTTCTTCTTTTAAAATAAGCTTCTGTTTAGAATACTTTGCCATTATTTTTTCTACGTTTATATTTATTATTTCATCAGTTATTCTTGTTATTACGTTCTAGATCGTCTCAAATATCATTATCATTTTCTTATCTTCTCCAGTAGCAGGTTCTTTTCCAGAACAATCTGTTAATTTTTGCTTCACATGACTTGTTGTTTTTCTGTTGTTGCTTGTTATTGTTGTTTGTTGTAATTGTTTGTTGTTTTTGTCTATTTTCATCACATGGTTTTTGTTGTGTTTTCTTTGTTTATTTTTCATTACGTGTTGTGATTCTTGTATTACTAAAACAGATTTGCAATTCAGGATTAAGGCTGATTCACCAAATTTTTCCAAAGTGCAAAAAAATATCAACAATATTTTACAACTTCTTCTATTTCTTTACCACTTCTGTTTCTTTTAACTCAAGTCTTTAAAAGACTAGGTGTTTCTTGTAGTTCTCTTCCTCTTTTCTTAAGGCTTTGAGTTTGGTTTCCTAGTGGTCTTTATATGTTATGAGTCAAAGTAGTTTTTGGGTCAAGTTAATCAAACTTAGATCAGTACAACTAAATTAATTTGACTTGGTCAAATTAATTTGATTGGATTAATTTGATCAGATTAATTTAATGATTATTTGATCAGTCAATTTATCAGATCAAGTTAATGATTATTTATTCTTACTAATATTACACAATGTAATATACGTAATTTAAACTAATAGTTTGCAATAAATAAATTTTGCAAATTCGATTAAATAAATTTATTTTATCTTTCTTACAAAACAATAGAATCTTCTAGTACTAATACACTTTGCGAATATAATTTTATATCAAGAGAAACATTCAATAATATACTTATTAAATTCATTCAGTTAAAAGATTTTAAATATCAAAATGCTACAGTAATTAGTCGTGAACGTGCAGAAAAATATATTGAGATTTTAGAAAACCCTGATAATAACGAACTAAAAAATTTAAGTTTATACAAATGGACTAAAAAAAATGTATTGTTAATGCGAATTGGAGATAAAAAAAGCTTATCAAAAAAAAAGATCAAAAAGAAATTTGTCTAAAAGAAGATTTATACGATCGTATTTGTGCTTATCATCAGACAATTGGACATGGTGGCTATGCAAAAACTTACAAAGCAGTAAATAAATTTAAATTTATTTGCTAAATATAAGTAATTATTTAAATTAATATTAACATTAATTTTTTATATAGATTTCTTAACATTATTCATATATTTCACAAGCTTTAATTGAAGAATTTACTAAACGATGTAACTTAAGTGAAACAAGATGACCCCTTAGGCGACCAATTGAGTTAAAACCAATTATTGCCAAAAATTTTATGACATGCGTTCAAGTAAAGTATATATTATCAATATAAAATTTTTATAATTATAGTTATTAATAATTTAAATTTTATATAGATTGATCTTCTTGATTTAAGTTCTTATCCTAATGGGTGCTGAAAATATATTGCACATGCCTGTGACCATTTTTCTCATTTTTCCTGGGCAGTTCCATTAGAATCTAAATATGCATTTGATGTTGCAGTGTTTCTTTTTCAAATTTTTAGTTGGTTTGGTGCCCCAACAATTCTGAAAAGTGATAATGGATCCAAATTTGTCGTTGGAGTAATTAAAGAGCTTTTAAAAATCTGGCCTGAATTAAAAATTATACGTGGAAGATCTAGGCATCTACAATCACAAGGGTCAATCAAAAAAAGCTAATGACATATTGTAAAGAAAGCTTTCTAAATAGTTAGAAGATACTAAGAGAACTGAGTGGAGTACTAGACTTAATTTGTGTATTTGTATGTATAAATTAAAATTTTTTATTAAAAATAATAATAATAATATTTTTAATTATAATATCATATTCATAATTACGATTTTATTATATGATTTTAAGATGTGATGAACACTAAATATTCTCATGCAATAAAACATACACTATATGAAATTGTCTTTGGTCAAAAGCCATGATGCAATCTTTCTATTATTGAAAAACTTTATCGTCAAAATTGTATTTGTGAAAAAGATATTCTGAAAAATATTATTTTAGAAATTGAACCAAATATAGAAATCAATGATACATTGAATAATGATGATGAATATGTTAACTTGAATTCTGAATTACCTAAATTATCTGAAATTATTGTATCACAACAGGTAGATTTATAATTACTACATACATATTTAATTATTTTATTACTATAAAATTTATTTAATTATTATATTAGATCAATACAAATATTTCATATGAAACTATTGATTTAACTAATAATAATAATGATGACAAAAATTTAATACATGAAAATGAAATAGAAAATACAACTGAAGTAAGTGTATATTTAATTACAAATCATTTTAATTATAAAATTATATTTGTTTTACACATATGTATTTAGGAAATTGGCAATGATAAAGAAAACAATTGTGAAATTGTTCCTACTTTTCAAAAGATTCACAATACAGTATGAAAAAACTTAGAACATAACAGAGAAATAATTCGTGAAATAATGGAGACTAAGAATTTAAAAAGAAAAGTCATTTATGAAGTTGGTGATTATGTCAAGGTTCTGGTTCCAAAAATTGATCAATCTAATACTGGTCAAAAATCTTTGCCTGTAAAGTAATAGAAGTTCTTCAAGATAGATATTATAAGCATGGTTGTGCTAATAGCATTTTAGATACTTGTTATCGTGCATGTGATATAGGTCCATTAGAGTCATTTGACTATCCCAAATTAGCCAAAATACCATCTGCTTAACTTTCTTTATGCACAGCTGCTATTAAACAAAGTGGTGTACTTGTAAGCAATGCGGTTTGTCATTGTAAAAGAAATTGTCTTTCTAATCGTTGTATTTGTAAGAAAAATAATTTAAAATGTAGTAGTAGATATCATGGTAGCAACAATATAGTTTTCCAAAATAAATAAGCATAAAATTATTTATGTATTTAGTATTAGCTTTATATTTATATTTTCATAACAGATAGTATTATTTATGTATTTAGTATTAGCTTTATATTTACATATACATAACAGATAGTATTTTTTTTATATTGCATAAATTTATTGCTATTATATTGTTATATATGTAATAACTTATTCTGGTTAAATTGTTTAACTTGACTCAGTTAACTTGACTGGGTCAAATTAATGGATTTATATAGATTTAATTTTGACTAACTTGACCCAAAAACCACTTTGACCTGTATCATACATATCAAGTGTGACTCTACACATAATCATGCTTATTGTCTACATAAGCTTTTTTTTTTTGTTGCTTTGACTTTTTTTTTTTTTTTTTTTTATAGTTGATGAAATAAAAGTAATACGAAATGAACTAAAAAAACTGGAAAATAAAATTGATAGTTTAATCAAAAAATCTTCTAAAAAAAGGGCCTGTTCAGTCACACCCAATAGCAATAGTGACAACAACTGCAGCACCAATAATAACAGCAACAACAACAGCAGCAATAACAGCAGCAACAACAGCAACAATGACAGCAACTACAAAAGAAAAGGTAGAAAAACTAGAAAAGCCTCTAAAAAAAAGATGTCAGAAACTTTTTCCACAGACAAAAAAGTCA